GCTGACTTTTTTGGGGTGGGTGGGTGGGTTTGTGTATCACTACCCAGCCTGCATCTGCTGACAGGAGGGATGCTGGGGTTTCCGTGGCAGTGTGTGTGTGTGTGTGCGTGTGTTGCGTGCCCAGGTGTGGGAGCCGTTCCACCCAAGGTTGTGTTTTTTTTTTTACCCTGGTGAGGAAAGTGTTCTTTTCCCCTTTAGGCAGCTGATGGGAGATGAACAGATTTATATTTATATTATCAAGAAAAGACTGGACTGCCCTCTGTCACAAATGGTGTAGGGCCTCCTGCTTAGGAAGAGGGGTTGGACTAGATGACCTACAAGGTCCCTTCCAACTCTGGTGTTCTATATTCAATGGAACAGAAGTTGCCCTCGGAAGTTGTGGCAGCTTCATCCCTGGAGGCTTTCAAGAAGAGACTGGACTGCCCTCTGTCAGAAATGGGGTAGGGCCTCCTGCTTAGGCAGTGGGGGGTTGGACTAGATGACCTGCAAGGTCCCTTCCCACTCTGATTATCTGTTATCTGTTTAATCACCTGGTGGTTAAGTTAAATCTGGCCTCCCCACTTGACTCTTTGTTTGTCGCAAAAGGGACGCTGCAACCGTTATAAATACGAGTCGGTGGATGGCCAAGGACCTGAACTTCGATGGCCCAAAGGTTGTTCAGTGTGAAAAATAGTCCTTAAGTCTTCTCCTTCTCCTTCTTCCTTCCTCCTCTTCTTCTCCGTCTCCTTCTCCTTCTCCTCCTCCTCCTCTCTTCTTTCTTCTTCTTCTTCCTTCCTCCTCCTCTCCTTCTCCTTCTCCTCCTCCTTCTTTTTCTCCTTCTCCTTCTTTCTTCCTCCTCCTCCTCCTCCTCTTCTTCTCCTTCTCCTCCTCCTTCTTCCTTCTTTCTTCTTCTTCACTGCCGTTGTCACTTTGAACGATTCTGTCCCTCTTAATTCCCTCCCTGATCGTCTCTTGAATGAGGCCAAGGGAAGGAAGGTTTATATTTTATATATATATATATATAAAAAGAGAGATTTTTGTTCATCTAGCGAGCTTCCTGGCTGGGATCGGTTTTGTAATGAGTAATCCGAGCGTATCGAGAACAACCCCTGTGCTTCGGTTGAGGAGGAGTAGTATCTTGGGATAGAAACCCTGGCTAAATCTTTCACGAGGTCCAACGAGGGGGCCCAAGCAGCCCCCCCCCCCACTGGGGAGGGGGCTTTGCACAGTTAAAAAAGAAAAGAAAGCCACGCTGTGAGTGAGAGACTAGCCACACGTGGCCTTAGGGAGCCTGAAGGTGAAAAGGCGGTGGTGGTGGGGCGGAGGCTGGAGCAGGGCCCGGCATTCAAACCGCTTGGCCCCCGGGAGCCGTTGGGAAAGTCTCGGCCTGGCCTCCCACCCCAAGGAGTGGTTGTGGTTGGATGTTGTGGTGCCACCTCGGCTGCCTCGAACTCCCTGGGGGGAAAGGGGAGATATCTGGTGGAAGGGAGAGAGGAGGGAGGAGCTTACACGCCAAGAAGAGTTTGTAAGTGTAGGGTATATAGGGATTCCTGCCTAGGCAAGGGGGTTGGACTAGAAGGCCTCGAAGGCCCCTTCTGACTCTGCTTATTCCATTCCGTTCCATTCCATTCCATTCTATCCTATATCCTATATCCTATTCTATATCCTATTCTTTTTTCTATTCCTTATTCTATTCTATATTCTATTCTGTTTTCTATTCTCTTTCTGTTCTTTTCTTTTCTTTTTTCTTTTCTATTCTTTTTCTATATTCTATTCTATTGTATATTCTACTACCTTTCCCTTATTCCTTATTCTCTTCTCTTCTGTATTCTGTTCAATTCTATATTCACTCTTCTCTTCTTCTCTTCTCCTATTCTATTCTATTATTTCCATATATTGTATTCTGTTCTGTTCTGTTCTGTTCTAATTCTATTCTATTCTAATTTTCTATTCTATTCTATTATCTCCATACATTCTATTCTATATTCTATTCTGTTTTCCATTCTGTTTTCTATTCTCTTTCTATTCTTTTTTTCTTTTCTATTCTTTCTCTCTATTTCATTGTATTCTATTCTATGCCCTCTTTTTTGGGGGGCCAGGCCTTGTCTTACAGCTGGGAAATTCCCCCCCCCCTCCGCACACCTTGGTCCTGCCCTTCTCCCGACCGGTGAAGATGCTGGTTTATTTTTCCTTCTCTTGTCAAGAGGTGTTTGGAGTTTTTTAAAAAGGGAAAGAGAATCTGTCAAAATGTTAGAAGGGCTAGAATGCTCCCCAGGCGTGTTG